CAGCCTGGGGACCAAGGTGTGAGATACTGGGAAATCTATGGCCTTGAGTGAGTCTCTACCATGAAAGTGGTATAGAGAGCATGTGCACAAGCCAGGAAAAAGAAAGAAAAATTGTAGTTAAAGTTTGTTGGTCTATGCAGGATCTCCTGTAACAGCATAATTCTTTGTTGTTGTTACATTGTTTAACTTTATTTATATGTTGCCTTATCTATTTTATCTTGGTAGAATGTACAGACGGACATCCAATATGGTTGGTTTGAGCTACCCACCAGCTGTAATTGGAGTGCTAAAGGTAAGCCCAAAGAGAAGGTGATGGTGGGAGAAGGCTGGGATGCTTGTACAAAGCATCCGGGTACCACTGTGATGTTTTCCGTGGGGAAGGGAGTGTTGGAACTTTGCCTTTTCTTCTTTCTGAGCCTGTTTAGTCAGGCTTAGGTCTGTTCCTAATTTCCTGACCTGTGGGAATATTCTTTGAGTAAAAGAAAGAATAGAGTTCAGAACTTGAAAACGGTCATATCCTTGAAGTTTCCAGCTCTGTTGTAGCGTTCAGCTGCGAAGGTGGCGAGTTAGTAACATGCTGAAATCAATCATGAGTTTGCAGAGGGAAGGATGAAAATGTGGGTGCAGAGAAATGGAGCAGGAAATGTATCAGTGAGTGTGCGAGCAGGGATTTTCTATCACTGTTGAAGGTGACAATCAGCTGTGGAGTAATATTCTGAGAGTTCTGAGATTTCAGTTGAAAAGTGAGAGATCACAAGTAGGCTGAAAGAAACAGATTTCATTCCTGGGGAAATGGCAAGGTTCTCCATTTAGGCAGGATACCTGTGTCAGTACCACAAACACAGGTTTGCCACCAGTTATCTGCGCAGCAGCTTTGCTGAGGTGTCGTATTTGTGCAGGAGACAACTGACTTGTGGTTCAAGCATGGCATGCAGTGGTGGAAAAAATGCATCATCAGAACTAATGTATAGAGGGGCATTACACATGTAAAGATTGGGAAGCAGTCTTTCTACTCTCGTCTACACAGGAAAGATACTCAGGGTACTGAATCCTTTTCATTTTTGGATAGCACAGTTTATTTATCAGAAGATAGGGAGGATTTGCACAAAGTCCACTGAGTGCAACAAGAATGATCCAACATGACCTTCATTTACAGAATGGAAGCATTCATTCCCCCCTTTTTCCAGCCCCAGATTTACACGTATAATCCTGCAGATGGGATCTCGTGTCTTTCTTCTCTTAGAACCACACCCTGTGGCCAGTCTGTGGGAGAACATGCCTGTTATGGTACATCCTCAGCAGTGACAGAGCAATGCAATACTTATCAGCTGTGCTGAGCAGGCATAAGCCTCAGGGCATCCTTCCCTTTCTGTATTTGTAAGATAGGAAAGGTCATAAGCAGTGTGGAGTGGGCTAGAGGAAGTAGGACCCCTGAATATCAGCAAAGGCACGGACTAATTTTGCTCCAGGTGAGATAATCCCATCTTGGCCATTCCAGGATGTCTTTTTTTGTTTTTTCCAAAACTGTTGTGAGAACAAGTCTGTGTCTGGATGTTCTTGTGGTAGGTAATGGCTGTGGCTTAAATAGGAAAGAGTTGTTTCGAAGAAGTGGTCTTTGGAAGGAGACTTTGTCGTATTCTTTTACCAAGTAAGATGTGATCTGCTGATCAGCGGTGCTAGAGGCAGAACTGAATATTAACAAGACAAAGTGCAGAGATCTTCTTCTGCTTAGGAAGGATTTCTTTTTTTCAGCCTTTTCTGATGCCCATGCTGTCATGGAGCTGTTTTGTTGGTTAGCTAATAGGCAGCAAATGTAGTTGCTGACAATGTGATGTAGTGTCTGCAGGCAGGCAGTGTCTGCAGTATCAATATGTACTTGACTTTGGCTGCAAAGAATTGTCAGGCCAGGAATTGTAGACTCCTAGGAGGATAAAATGGTTGAAAAGGACCCCACGGATCATTTAGTTCCAACCCCCTGCTGTGTGCAGGGTTGCCAACCAGCAGCCCAGGCTGCCCAGAGCCACATCCAGCCTGGCCTTGAATGCCTGCAGGGATGGGGCATCCACAGCCTCCTTGGGCAGCCTGTTCCAGTGCCTCACCAGCCTCTGGGTGAAAAACCTGCTCCTCATATCCAACCTGAACCTCCCCTGTCTCAGTTTACAACCATTCCCCTTGTCCTGTCACCATCCACCCTTGCAAACAGCCATTCTCCCTCCTGTTTCTACGCTCCCTTCAAGTACTGGAAGGTCACCATGAGGTCTCGTTGGAGCCTTCTCTTCTCCAAGGTGAACAAGCCCAGTTCCCTTGGCCTTTCCTCATAGGAGAGGTGCTGCAGCCCTCTGATCATCTTGGTGGCCCTCGTCTGGACCCGCTCCAGTAGCACTGCATCTTTCTGGTTCTGCACCGTCAGTGATGTCCTGTTGAACAGCAAATGAGCTGTCCCTAAATCAGCTGGCTGATAAAACCAGTCAAGGCTCTAAGGTTAGCAGAGGGAAAGGCAAATATACGGAACACTGAGGAAGAACTGCAGTTGGGCCAACTCTTGGTTCGGCCAAGAAGTGGAGCAAAGGTCAAATTGAAGACCAAAATGGATAGAAGATGGCCTTATGATTGTAGCTGCATCGCAGTGCCTACAGATAGCATGAGAGCACTTTGTGACATTTCACCTGAGGCTGCAGGGCCAGGGAGCTGGAAATGTGTAGCCCAGGAACTTTCCCTATCCCTTGCTTCTCCTGCTCTCTTCACTGACAACAGTTTTTGTCCTCCCCCACGAGGTGCCTGTAAAGTTCTGCTTCCCTTCCGATTTCTCTCCAACATGGACATCACATCTGTGCTCAGCTTTTATAGGATGAAAAAATGCTCTGATTTTCCAAGTGTTGCTGGTGCTGCAGGCCTCTGAGCAAAGGGTGATACTGTCTTGTTTCCTTAAGGGGACATTTTTCCCTTGGTATTCAGAGTGAAATGCTACTGTCCTGATAGTCAAGAATATTTCCCTTGGTGCAATGGAAATGACTCAGCAGTCAAACTTAGTGTCTGCTTGGCTATTGCCACTGTGCAGTGCAGAAGAAGAATACTTTGCCATTTTGGAATTCAGTTCATGTTATCTGCCACAAGAGCGCAACATTACTGCAATGAAAAGACATGTAAAGAAACAGCAACCTTTATTTCTACACAACAGACTATTTCTACAAGAAAGAGTAATTTCTTCTTGAATATAGTGAGACGTTATTTTCAACTTCATAGGAACTAGAAGGAACTACTATTTTTTAATTAATTCTATAATAAATACCAATTTAAATGTAAAGTCTATAATGTATTTAAATTATAAAACTAAATTCTATTACTGTATATTATACATCTTATTATATGACTCTTATAGATATGCAACCATAAAATGCTACTGCTTCCTCACTGAGACAAAACAAAAACAGTCCAAGAAGGGCGTGGGAGTTGGAGAGAAGGTTTCCTGGTGTTTTGAGAGCATCCACTTCGGAGCTGGAGGTGCATTAGAGATAGTGAGCGCTGTCAGCTCATGCTGCCGTCCATGGGAGTTGAGTTGGAATTGAACCTTCTGCAAGAGATTTGATACGTTATAATGTAGCTTTATGAGTTGGGAATTGAACTCGTCTTCTTCCGTCTCTTGACTGAGCCCCTGCAGCGCTAGTAGAGGATTGACAGCCAACTGTAACCCTCTCAACTGCAGTTAGATATTTACTTGTATGTTATAAGGGTCATTTTTTATGCCATTGTTAGCACGTAATGTAGCATTACTATGAGAAACCCCAGTTAACTCACTTGTCTTCAAGAAGAAAAGAAAATTAAAAACACGCCTACTATTAAAAAGAGAATCTTGCTGTCTTTGGGCAGTTAAAGCTGCAGTAGTCAGAAAGAACTGGGATCTCTTTGGGTCGAGCAAGGTAGGTTGAGATATTTTTTTCCACTGGTTCACTGTGCAGCAGGTGATGAAAATATGAGCACAGGCCAGTATGCAAGTGCCCGTAACCATATTTCCTTGATGAAGGCAAGCTAAGATGTGTTTTGCACGTAGCCTTTGCTGGTTCCATTGGTGAATCCCTGTGACTTGAATAAGCAAGGAACTGAAGTTTTGAATAGAAACTTCTTCACTGTGAGTCGTACTGTACTGATGAGTAAATTAGCCTCCGTACTGGTGAAGTGAAGTGGAGAATGTTGTCAGTGAAATCTGTACCCTCTCATCATCCATTTGCAGATGTAAAGTGATAGACATTGAAATGTGATGGTGAAATGGATGATCAGGTTAACATTCTTTTCTGTTCATTCTTGCAGAATGTAGACAAGTGGTCCTTTGATGTATTTGCACTAAACGATGCCAGTGGAGATCATGCACTGAAGTTCATTTTCTATGAACTTCTCACGCGCTATGATCTGATCAGTCGTTTCAAGGTCAGTAGTTACAAGATGGGTCTCTTCTTCCATCTTGCATTTTCTTGTATCTCATTCTTAATTTTTTTGTATCTTATTCTTATTCTGCTTTGTTCTATTCAGAGTGCAATGATTTTAGCAGTATTTGAAAGTGTATGTGCAGACTTGGCAGTCACTGTCATTCCCCTTAAACGGGGAAGAGAATCTTTCTGCAGCAACCAGGACCAAACGTCCTTCAGGTAGAGCATTTTATTGCAATAGAACAGCACGAAGCAGGTGGAGTTCCACACAGTCTTATTCATGACATGCAGAGGCAATGGTACTGTAATTCTCCCAGTATTCTTATGCATCTGAAAGCATGCAAGCCAGAAATGACAACTTGGTTTGCTACAGGTTTCAGAATAGAAATGCTATTTAAGGGGGAGTAAAAGGTACTCCATATCTTCTACTTTGAACAGTTCCTTTGTAACTATGAACAGAGTGACATTTGGGTCACTGCAGCGTTGCCCTGAGATGTTTCCCATTCTCCCCACCCAAAGATTCCATGTTCCCTTTCTCTGCTGACACTTACTGTGGCAGGACTCCTACTTCCTTCGACTCCTGAGCTTCTTTGTGGACTTGTCACGCCTGCTGAGAAATGGTTGAAGATGAGAACAGATCAGAACTGCATTGTCCCATACTCGAGGGAAACAGCTGTGCAACTCTAATGATAGAACTAGAGAGGTTTAGGGTACAGCAGGTTGTGCAAAGCACTGAAGAATCCCTGCTGCTTGTTGCATCTATGTACAGCTGCCACCACCTACATAGCGTGCTCCCTAGAAATCCCCCAAGTGTGGTTTTATGTTGAGCATACAGTTCTACTCTGGGAGCCAAAAACAAGCGTGGCAAAGTGATAGTGTGGGAAGTCTGGCTTTGGCAGTAAAAAACCAAAAGTATGATAAACAGTTCTCCTCATCATGGAGTATCTCAGACTTGCTATATGATGCATTTCCTTACAAACCTCTAGAATATGATTAGTAAAGTAGTGATGTATACCTGATTGTTGTGAGAGGATGAGACAGACGTGTGTGTCCTGAACAGAAATATTTGTCCAGGAACAGCACACCAGCTACGCTCTGTTACTTGTGGCACTGCTTGTGTTTTGCAGGCAGCGTTTCACAGTGGACTGAGTTGCGTATGTTTAAGTGCATGCGTGCTTCATCCATCATGTAATGAGGGATGGGAAAGCCATTTTGAGGAAGTGAGCTTGATTCACTCTCTCTCTGGAGTACTTGTTGAAGGTGTTTACAGATGGTATTTATTTGGGAAGTGCAATCAGTACAGACTGCTCTTTGGAGCCTCTCCTCCAAATGCTAGCTATTACAGATGATTCTTTGATTTGTAATTGTGTGCTTCTTTTCTTAGATCCCCATTTCTGCCCTGGTGTCCTTTGTGGAAGCTCTGGAGGTTGGATACAGCAAACACAAAAATCCTTATCACAACCTAATGCATGCTGCCGATGTGACACAAACAGTCCATTACCTCCTTTTCAAGACAGGTGTAGTGGTACGTACAGGAGTTGGCATCCTTAGTACATAATGAAATGCAGTAGTTTTTGTTTGGTAAGGAGATGATCATTATCCACAGCAGAGCCATTTGTGCTGTAGAAACAATGTAATTTGTAGGGGCTGTGCTAATGCAAGTAGGCATTTGGGATTCCTTGGAAGAATGTGGGTGAGGGTATGGGTAACTGTTGTAATTGATGGGAGAGAGGATGAGTGAAAAAGGCAAGCTGAATTCTCCCCTCTGCCATCAATCTGCTGGCTGAGTCTAGCAAGTCAGTTTGTTGGGATTTCATTTCCCTTTCTGTGAAGAAACAAATTGCCTAAGCTTTTTTCAGAGTACAAAATGAAGTGATGTATTGCTTAACCCAGTTTGGCACCCCTTTTCAGGCTATTGCTCACCTTTTTCTCTTGCTGTCCGGTCCTCGGCGCTGTCTCTTGAGCCCACGTGGAGGTGGATCCACCTCCATTGGCTGCTGTTCATCTAGAGGTGGATCCACCTCCATTGGCTCAACTTTCCATCTCCTCCCCATGAGTTTCCTCTTTTTCTGGGGAGGAGGATCCATTTTTATGAGGTGCTTCTCTGCCTCTTGCTGTTGGTGTGGCAGTTGGAGGGCTCGGAACACGAGGCAGTGACATCAGCAGAGTTCCATGGCAACCCAAAAACAAGAGTTTTTGGAGTTGGGGCCTATGGCCTGAGAGTTGCCCCAGTTTTGAAGGAGAAGGAAGGACCTGGAGAACTGAAGGACTGTGTCCTGGGAAGGGCTCATCTGTTGCATTGTGCTTGCCAGAGAGAATTTGTGGCACTTGGGCCAGAGGCCCCGTGGGGACTCCAGCCCTTTCTTCCTCCCGTGCTTCAAATCCATTTGTACTGATGAGTGGCAGGATTAAGCCAGGAGTGTCCTCTTCCTGGCAGCTGCTGGGTTCCTGCAAGTGGAGGCAGCCTGTTGCCCAGCCGTAGTGAGGAGGCAAAGGATGCTTGCACCCCACAGTCAGCCTAAGGACATGCAGTTAATAAAGAACTGCTGAATTTCAAGGGTGGTGTGAGCTCTCCTTTGCTGTCCTTCACCTCTGCCCCTGCAGCATGGAGGAGGTAATATATCCCTGTTCCCCATCGGAGAGCAGTGGGGAGGAGAGGGCCTGGTGTCCTCTGAGTGGCTGTGCTGCAATGGAGTGATGGGTCCATTGGAGGGTCTGTGAGATCCTTGAGGCCTACTGGTGGCTTTTTTACTCTTGAGGATGAGAGGGCTGATTTGGGATTGCTATCCTAAGTGTTTTCTCCCTCCAGCTACTGAATGTGCGGCTGAGAGTGGAATCAGGCCACACATGGCAGTCATGAAGAATAGCTGGAGATCAATTGAGCCTCCAGATAAGAAATTAGGACAGATTTCATCTCTGGATCTCTGCTTCTCTGGAGTAGTGATCTTGAGAGGGGGGCTGAGGGGCAGAGACCCAGTTCCATAGATTCTTATCCCCATCAGGTGACTCTTACTGTACCTCAAGCAGCATGAAAGTGTTCACAGGCCAACATCGTGTGAAGAGGAAAGGGAGGTGTTTCTGTCAGGTGCGGTGACTAAATTACAACTGGCATGCCAAGAAACTGTGCAGCTTCTTGTTGAACTAAGGAAAATTAAGCTGTTTTTGTTGGTGTTTCTGACAATGGTGTCGTCTTGTCTTTCCACCGCTGTTGCCCTGTTAGAAAAGTCAGGCTTTGCCTTGTTACACACTCCCAGTAATTTTGAGGAAGGAGGAGGAATGCTGGTTCTAAGGGCACCTGTCCTGGGGCTGGCTTCCCACTGCCTGTTTTTCCACTTGCCAGTGAGAATAGGTACTTCCTGGGCTCTGGGACTGCCCTTCATTTCATCTGGTGTTCTTAGGGTTCCAGCTCCTTGTTCAAACCCTTCCTGGGCTTTCCTAAGGAAGCTGTCAACTCAGTTATTTTTCTCTCTCCTTTTTTTTTTAATGCCACTGCGCACACCTTATCTTTAGAGGATTAGTTTTCAGTTCTTTGTGGCATATTCTTACTGGCTTTTAAGTGGCAGAGATGGTTCAGGTGTAGTGAAGGTGCTGATGACTGCTATAATTTTCATGTCATAATAACCACTATGACTGAGGCAGATCTCAGCACTCTTTTTTCTTATTCATTTCATCAGTGGTTTTTTTTTGTTTTTGTTTTTTAAATGTCACGTGACCAGATCCAAAATATGGGATAGGTTTGTCTTGTAGTAGTCAGTAGGTGAATTTTCTATTGGGCATTTCCTTGGCCTGTTTTGCTAGGCATTGCTTTGCTGGACAATGTTCTGCTGCAGTCACACCTCTGAATACTTGCCCTGTTGCAAGTTTGAGTCTCTGGAGGTAACGAACTCAAGGGTGTGTCTTCTGTATCAGCTTGGTGTTCCTGATCAATGATTGAAGTTTAATCTTCTTTTCCTTTTCACTATTTTGCACTGTTTCTTCTTTTCTTTTAAGCAGACTTATGCTACATTTTAAAAAAAGGCTTATGTTATTTTTCTTCCAATGAATTCTTCTTTTGTATTTGAATTACTATTCAAATGAATAGAACTTTGATTCTCCATGGAACTCCTTCCTGAATATAAGACTGAGCTTGTCAACTAGAGTATAAAGGACAAGAAGACAAATTGGAAATAGCAGGGAGATCTCTGACTTTATAATCCCACCAAGAACACCGCTAGTGAGAATTATGTCTTCCCAATATATCAGTAATAATATTCATAAAGCCTGTGCATCCTGTGCTGTGCCTGTGTGATTTCACAGCAGTGGGAAGACTTTTGAAAAAGGCATAGCCTCTGAACTTATTTCTGTTTGGAGACTAGAGAATATATTTTCTTGAAGTTAAAGAAGGTAAACTCTTTCACTTTATTAGCTTTTCCTCTGCTGTATGGACAACACTTCTCTGCAATAAAGGGGTCAGCCCAGATTAAAGACAATTCATTCTGAAGGTGTTTCATGTCAAGCATTAAGTGGTTCTTGCGCATTATTAATGTCATTAAATAAAGTCCAGTAACATCTCAGTGGAAACACATCTTGCAGACAGTTTCTGGGTTCTAATTAGCCAAGGCTGCTATGTGCAATGCACCATAATGTAGGCACTGGGCTAGTTCAGCCTGGAGAAGAGAAGGCTGCAGTGTGATCTCATTGCAGCCTTCCAGTACTTAAAGGGAGCCTACAAACAGGAGGAAAGTAAACTTTTTACAAGGGTAGATAACGGCAGGACATGGGGAAATGGTTTTAAATTGAAGGAGGGAAGATTTAGGTTGAATGTCAGGGGGAAGTCCTTTACCAAGAGTGTGGTGAGGTGCTGGAACAGGCTGCCCAGAGAGCTAGTGGATGAACTCTCCCTGGAGGTGATCAAGGCCATGTTGGGTACGGCCCTGGGCAGCCTGGGCTAGTATTAGATATGGAGGTTGGCTGCTCTGCCTGTGACAGGGGCGTTGGAGCTTGATGATCCTTGAGGTCCCTTCCAACTCAAGCCATTCTATGGTTCTGTCAACTTAAGGGAGAAACAACTTCTCAAATTTTTGAGTGCCGAGTTGGGTCAGAGCAAAATTAACAGCCTTGTGTATCCCAGTCTCCAGTCTGACAGAGAAGCAGAAGCAAAAAAAAAACCACTGAATACCTGTCTTCAGTTATTTTAAGATCTTCTCTCACATGCTTACCGATGTCTAGTAAATTACCTATGCCCACCCACTTTTCAAAGTCAACAAGCTGTGATGCTTGTTTAGAAGTGTCTGGGAGGTGCAGGGACCTCTATCAGAGGTCATACACATCTTTAGTATTATGTAGGTCCATCCAAAAGTAATGCCTCCTACTTATTTTAATGGAAATCGTAACAGCTACAAAGAGCGCAGTAACACTGTTTAGTTGAGCAAATTCTCAGCTACAAAGCACTGCTTTTCAAAACAGTCCCCACCATTATTAACTAAGAATTTTTACCAGCAGAGAAGAAGAACCTGCATGCTTCACTCAGCAAAATGTGCTCCAGCAGAGGTGACCCACTGTTGCCACTGCTGAAATGCATATCACCCATTGCCTCACTGTGCTCACATCCCCTGTTCCGTCCCTGTAAAT